TTATAGAAAAAAATTCATCAGGCCCATTGGGCCCAATTTTTTTGCTACAGACCTCAGGCCTCCTGGGTCATTTTTTTTCTTTGGAAACAGGCCCCTTAGGCCATTTATTTATATAAAAAAAATTGTCAGGCCTCTGGGCCATTTTTTTTATAGAAAAAAAATTGTCAGTCCTCTTGGGCCATTTTTTTATAGAAAGAAATTTGTCAGTCCTCTTGGGCCATTTTTTATAGAAAAAAAATTTGTCAGTCCTCTTGGGTCATTTTTTATAGAAAAAAATTCGTCAGTTCTCTAGGCAAAGTTTTTTCTATAGAAAAAAATTCGTCAGGCCCTTTGGGCCAATTTTTTGCTAAAGAAAAAATTCGTCAGTCCCCTTGGGCCAATTTTTTGCTAAAGAAAAAAACTCGTCAGGCCCATTGGGCCAATTTTTTGCTAAAGAAAAAATTCGTCAGGCCCCTTGTGCCAATTTTTTGCTATGGAAAAAAATTGGTGAGGTCCTTTGGGCCAATTTTTTGCTATAGAAAAAAAAATCGTCAGGCCCTTTGGGCCAATTTTTTGCTACAGAAACAAATTCGTCAGGCCTCTAGTCCTTTGTTCTGTCCTGTGATTTTTTTCCTTTCTAATAAACTGTGTGAGAGTCTCTGGATTTTTTTGTTTTAGAAATAATTTCCTTTTTGTCCAACATTTTTCCTCGAGTGTACTCATTTGTCTACCTCATTTGGAGCATTGCTTTCATTCCGTTGTTCCGTTTTTTGTTTCATCTCCCAAAAAGTTTTCCATCAGCTAATTAAAAATGTTGCCATAGAAAATTTTTCGGAAATTTCCATCCGACTACTATTCTATTTCTTCTGAGCGCCTATTCCTTACTCATTAACTAGCTAGCTAGGATTTTTGTTTGAGATACCACAACTATTTATTATTTAATTAATTACTTAAATGAATGTTTTAATTGCTAAGGATTTTTATTGGTCCTGCTATGTCCTTGTATGTATGTGGGTGTGTCTATTCGGGTGCCTGCTAATAAAATTTAATTACATTTGTTGTGCGTGTTTAATTACCGCAAATCATTTCTAATGAGAAAACATCTGTATGTCTATATATTTCATTGTGTGTATGTGTGAGTGTCCATGTCCTTTGCTACTAATTTGTTCTGGGCTCCTAATCCTTGCTCATTAACTTATGTCTATGTTTGTGAAAATTTTGTATTTCACAATGCAGCTTTACCTCCATCTCCTCCTGTCCGCAGCCACCACAAAGAAAAGCTCATTAACTCATTTCATTTGTAATTATTAATATGGCCTTTCAATGTCCTCCTCCCACACATCGCACACAACTTTGTTGAGAGTTTTCAAGTTCGCCAGGTTTGGGAAGCTGTGAATGTTTTTCCTGTATTCATCCCCTTTTCTCCCTATTATTTTCCTCATTACTTAGTAGTGGTTTCTGTTCATGAAATTCATTTCATCTGTAATTTTGTTTTTCGCTACTCAAGTAGCAACCACTTCGAAGCGAATTGTAATTTTCTTAATTACTGTTGCAAAAGAGGATACTTGCTAGCATTGCTGAGAGCCTCTTGAATCTATAGCGAAAAAATTGCCAAAGACATTTTGTATAAATCTGTGATTTAAATTGAAAATAACAAATTCGCCATATAAATGGCTTGGGTATTTGACTTCAGTGTTCATAAGACATGCTTATAATTCTCATTTGGTTGATGACCTTCAAAATATTTAATTTTCAAGAACTTGTTATCTTTCTGAGAGTCTTTTTAATCTAAAACAAAAAAAGGATTTTTTTAAAATATGGGCATTCAAACTAAAAGGAACAAATTCGCTACCAACATGCTTTACGGGTATGACTTCAGTGTTCATAGGATATGCTCATAATTCGCATTTAGTTAACAGCCTTAAAATATTAAACCTTCAAGAACTTTTTCTCATTCTGAGAACTTCCTAAATCTATAGCGAACATATGTCAAGATATTGTGTAAAAATCTGACCTTAAACTAAAAAACAAATTCGTCACAAAAATGCCTTACGGATTAGACTTCAGTGTTTATATTATATGCTAAAAATTCTCATTTGGTTGATAATATTTAAAACATTTAAGCTCTTAAGCACTCAGAATGATAGCTAGTTCTTGAATTGCTAACATTCTGAGAGCTTCTTCAAATTGTCAAGGAAACTATAAAAGAATCTGACCTTAGATATGTGCTCATAATTCTCATTTACTTGACAATTTTTCAAATATTAATTTTTTCCAAATTTTTTTTATTTGCGATAAAAATCAGTTCAAGAAATTTCCATTCCATCCTCAACAACTTTTTAACATCGATAAAATCTGTATTTAATCACTTTCTCCGCAATAACGCTGAGTTGTACTCGATTTTGTCATAATGCTGTTTTGCGAAGTCATTATCTTGTCTTACTTGAATTTCTTTATTTGTTTTTATTAACTGATATTTTTTGTGCTCATTTTTGTTATTTATATTTTTTAAAAATACTTGAATTTTGATTAATTTTTTCATCAGTTATTTATTTATTTACTTGTTTTTTGTTTGCGATACGAGCAGGGACAAACCAGATATGATCGAAAACTTGAACACGTGCCGCATTGCGATGATTCAAAGATATTTTGTTTATATTTTCCAATAGAAAAAATGAAGGCAGATTTATAAAAAATATGTAATGGCCGTCCAATAGGCAAGGATTTGATTAAAACTTTTTTTCAGGGCATATCAGCAGGTGGGGATTTTTTTTAATATTTTTTCAAGGCATATCAAAAGGTGGGGATTTTTTTTAATATTTTTTCAAGCCCTACATAAAGTCCTTAAAAATTTTTCAAGTAAATGAGAATTATGAACATCTATCTATGAACACTGAATTCATATACGTAAGGCATTTGTGTGACGAATTTGTTCTTTTAAATTTTAAGGTCAGAATCTTTTATAGTTTCCTTGGCATTTTGTTCGCTATAGATCGAAGAAGCTTTCAGAATGATAGAAAGTTCTTGAAAATTTGAAAATTTCTTGAAATTTTTTTCAAAGTTATAAACCAAATGAGAATTATGGGCATGTCCTGAGCACTGAAGTAAGGCATTAATGAGGTGAATTGGTTCTTTTTCATGTAAATCTTTACAAAACGTCATTGTCATTTTTCGCTATGGATTATTAAAAACAAGTTCTTGAAAAATATTTTTTGGATTTTTTAAAAATATTTTTTCAAGGCCTACATATAGGCTTTGGATTTTTTAAATAATAAAAATAAAAATTTAAAAATATTTTTTCTATACCTACATATAGGCGTTTTTTCATGGCCTATCAACAGGCGAGGATTTTTTAAGACTATTTTTTCAACAGGCGTGGATTTTTTAAAAATATGTTTGTCATGGCCTATCAACTGGCATGGATTTTTTTCTACAGGAAAAAATGGTCTTAAAGGCCTGACGATTTTTTTTAGAAAAAATGTCCCAATGGACCTGACGATTATTTTATAGAAAAAAATGGCTCTAGTAGCCTGAGGATATTTTTATTTATTAAAAAAATTGGCTTCTATGTTTTTTTTTTTTTTAATGGGCCTAAAGATCTGACGATTTTGTTGGACAAGAATTGGTCCAAAAGCCTGACGGAATTTTTTCTATAGAAAAATATTTACCGAAAAAATCATGGCCTATCAACAGGCGAGGATTTTTTAAGACTATTTTTCCAATAGGCGTGGATTTTTTTTAAAAAAAATATTGTCATGGCCTATCAACTGGCGTGGATTTTTTTCTATTGGAAAAAATAGTCCTAAATGGTCTTTTTTATAGAAAAAATGTCCCAATGGACCTGACCATTATTTTATAGAAAAAAATTGCCCTAGCCTGAGGATATCTTATATATTATCTAAGAAAAAAAGGTCTTAAAGGCCTTACGATTTTTTTATAGAAAAAAATGTCCCAATGGACCTGACGATTATTTTATAAAAAAAATGGCCCTAATAGCCTGACGATATTTTATCTATTAAAAAAATTTTGGCTTCTATGTTATTTTTTTAATGGGCCTAAAGATCTGACGATTTTGTTTGATAAAAACTGGTCCAAAAGCCTGACGGATTTTTTTCTATAGAAAAATATTTTTTTCAAAACACTGTGCGTGTCGATATTATTAACATTTGAAAATCTCTTTCTCATACATGTGTTAAATCGAATATACATGTTAATTTTTGATAAATGGGGTACAACAACACCAACAAAAACACACATTTTAATGATAACATTTACACGGAACGCTAACATGGTTACAAACACACACACAAACAATTTTTTTTAAAATATGTTTCTGGGTCACAAGAGCATGAAAAACGAAACGACGATGACGACCTCTAATTTTTGGTGACATGAAAATTTTCAACATTTTGTCGGAAGATCTACTCTGATCTCGCTCATATGTTTATACAGTAAAATATCTTTTGAACGAACCGTTCCGAACAAGTTCGTTGTAACACAGTTTGTCTGTATGTATTTCTTTTTGTTGTTAGCTTCGTTGTGTGTGCATTTATTTCCACTACCCTTCAATATTCGAAGTTTGACTAACCCACTCTCTGCGTAGAGGCAAAACCAAAACGCAGCAATAATTTTTCAAGGCCCTTTTTGTTGGGTGTTTAAATTATTTCAGTTTCAATTGTTGTTGGTTTTTTCGTATAACTACCAATACTTTCAACCATAATGCGGTTTTTAAACAAATTTTAAATATCAGCACTTATTTTTGGAAACTATCAACAAGCTAACTATATTATGTTGGCCTGGTAATGAATAGATCATTTTGCATGGTTGAAGCTAAAATTCTTAGAATTTTGAAAGAATATTTTGTTTAAATAAAAATTTTGATATTTTGTCTTTTTCAGAATTTCGAAGAGAATTTTTATTTGTTAAAATAAAATAAAAATGAAAATTATTATTTCTTTTCTATTTCAGAATTTCAAAAATTAAAATACTAATTTCAAAATTTTCTTATCTTCTCTTTACAGAACCTTTAGCAATGGCGCTGCAGATTTACAGCCTGAACGTCGTCAACGTCTCAATACGGCGCCCGGTATGCGTGCTAGCAATTCTGGCAATTCAACAGCATCCATGACCTTTGGCGGCAACAAGAGACCATATAATAATATTTTGGGTTCTACAATATCGCACATTACCGATGATAGCAGCACGGAAAGTTTAACACCCGGCTCATTTAGTAATCGCGGCAGTATAACCAAATCGGTGCAAATCAATGATGCTAAAGATTTGCGTTTAATGGGTTCGCAGGCCCACAAACAGCATCAGTACAAAGATGAGAGAGTAGTTTTAGTATCGCGTAAGGTACCATTTTTCATATTTTCGGCATTGCCATATTACAAGGGGAAAAATGGAAGGTAGGTTCCATGAAAAGAAAATCCACATTAACCAAAGTTAAGCAATTAATTTATATTTCTTCATTTTTCACAGAGCTGAATTACGCAAGGAGGGCAGACGCCGCAACACCTCGGCCTCCCGGCCATTGTCGGCCATCAATGATGCCCCATTTGATCCATTCGATTTGCTGGGCATTGAAAGAGGTGAAAGTGGTCAGGTATGTGGAAAAATATATATATATTTCAATGTCTTTATTAATTGCATTTTGTTTTCTTTGCAGGACATTTCCTATGGCCATCTCTTGATACCCTCCCGTCAATTCTCCAAGGAGGGCAAAAAACACGGTGCCGGCAACACCTCATTGCTGGAAAGTCAAATGGAAATTACCGGCACTGCAGCATTGAAAAATCACGGCATTGCTAGGTAAATATTGCTGGTTCTTTTGCTTGAGGGAGCCCTACAACTTTACTTTTTGAGAGGGGGAGAATTTCGTTGTGAATATTTTGTAAAAAAGTCCAATCATAAAGATATCATTTAGTATTTTTCGTGGGGAACATTTTAATGAAGTATTTTATAAAAAAGTAATTAATTGTTAATGGATCCCCCATTATTTATAGAAAGTATTCACAATTTCCCTGTAAAATGTCAATTGTATCATTCAACTCAACCTAGGAATCATTATTCTCATTTTGTAAAAAAGAATCGTTTTAGTTACGTTTCATCCCGATAAAACAGATTTAACATAAATTTAAATATATCCCAGAGGATATATACTTAAATAAGGTCCTTTGGGGGCCTCTAGACTAACGATTTCTTGAAGAGAAAAACTGATATTGAACTAAGTCTCAGAATTTAGTGCTTCCAAATATTATTATATTATAAGATTCTATTTACTAATCATTATTTTGATCTTGGTAGTTGTCGTTCCTCAAGACCTATCTTTCCCAAAGTTGTAAGGGATGACAGAACAATTGTTACAACCTTTTGTTGTCCTCTCCTTATTACAAATTTCCAATAGAAAAGTGGTAACTTTCAAAGACCTTCTCAGCTTCATATCCCATATAAGGCCTTAGTAAAACAACACCAAGGTATAAACTCCTGAAAGCCTTCACGAAGGAATGAACCATACATTCCTATTTAATATATATATATATATATATACTGAATACTCTTGATGGATTGATGTTTGAATGTGTTTTTTTTTCATGTGTTTTTCTAACGAACTAACGAATATTCAATATTCAAGGTACGAATGTTCAGCAATAATTCCTACTGTCTACGGCGACCTTTTACATTTGAATTTAGAGGAAGGCAAATAGATGAAAATACTCCGTTAAAAATGCAGTTGGTAACATTTCTCTCGTGGAAATGATAATTAAAGAAGAGTGATCTTTTCAGAGTTCTTGTTTCTATTTTTTTTGCAGCTTTATTCTTAGATATTAGAAACTGTTTTTCTGTCGAACTAAGAATTAGTTTTATAGAAGGTTTAGACAGTAGTTTGTTATATATTAGCAAACTAAGTTCCTGATAAAGGCATAGCCATAGGCATGGATTTTTTAAAAATATTTTTTCAAGTCATATCAACATTCATAGATTAGAAAAAATTGGACTAAAGGATGCCCGTCCGAGCATGCTTTTTTTTCTATAAAAAAGTGCTGCTAAGGGACTGACGAATTTTTTTATATAGAAAAAATTGTCACAGGAGATTGAACATTTTTTTATAGAAAAGACTGGCCCAAAGGTCCTGAAGAATTTTTTTCTATAGAAAAAATGACCCAAATGTCCTGAAAATTTGTTTTCTTGATGAGTTTTTTTCTATAGAAAAAATGTACCGGGGCTGATAAATTTGTTTCTATGGAAAAATTAGGCTCATGGGACCTGATTATTTTTTTTCTATAGAAAAAATGGCCATGGGGGTTTAATGGATTGTTTCCTATTGAAAAAATGGTCCTGTGGCCTGACGATTTTTTTCTATAGAAAAAAATGCCACTAGTCCCTGATAATGTGGGTTTTATAATTAATTTATAATTAAATTCGAATTAAATTCGTTTTGATTTCATATTACTTTTGTATAATGAAAGCCAATAGCAAGTCAATTGCAATCTCTTGAAACATGTATTTCAGATTCTCTTGAAATATCTTCTCTTTATGAATAGATCTCAACAAACAAAATCGTCGTTAAGTTCAGCCAGGATGAACTTTTTTATATCCTACTCCATGAGGTGGCTAAATAAAATATCTGAACTCGTTCTAGACTTTTATGTGGGATCTTTGTAATGGACAAATCCACAACCATGCAGGATTTTAAATATTAAATTAGAGTCAATTCGATTAAAATCACTTCCTGAAATTCTCAAAATTCCGAAAGTTAGGAGGTATAATATGGCGAAGTTGACCAATGTTGATCATGTTTTGGTTGGAGGATTTGTTACCCAATATCCCTAGTGGAGGTATCAGGCCTACCCTGAAACTTGATCATTTTTGAGAATAAGAGCCTGAATGAGAATCCTAAATGCTAAAGTAAAGCCACTTTATTTGAAAAAATGTGTCTAAGATTTGCTACCCAATGCGAATCCCAAATACCAAATTATTGCAATCAATTTGGTTGAAAACCAAATCCAAACAAACTCAACTCAATATTTCGAAATTTGTAAGGCCCTGTTTTATAAGGCCTTACAACGGAGTGACAAATATTATATACACTGCATCCTGTAATGCGCATTATAAATTCATTAGACTCCTCTTGGAAAGACCTACTTCTAACTATTCCCCCTAAATGCCTTCTGCATAAAATTTTGACTTAATTTCAATATGTCTTCTTCTTTTTCTTATAAAAAAACGTAATTTCTTCTTGGAAATGTGTTCTATATAGAGAATTATATGCAGAGAAAATTTAATATACACTCCATTTCCTCTTGGAAATGGGTTCATTATATAAGGCTTTCTCAGTATGGATGGTTTTTAATCGATATTTAACATACTAATAGAGGTTATTATGAGTTCTATAAACACTTCAATCTTGCTTAATATTTTTGAATTATATGTTCAAATTCCTGTTTATTGAAGACGCCGTGTAGAATATAATTTTCTTTGACATGTCTTAAGAAGTCAGGATAATTTTATTTATGAAATATTGTTTTTATTTGATTCAAAACCATCCGTAAAATGGTCCTATTTTTATACAAATCTTTTGTCTTTATAAAAATAAAAAAATATTTTTTTTCATTCCTTCCCATCCGTAAAATGGTTCTATCTGTGTCTTTATAAAAATAAAACATACAATTGTTATACCTTCCAATTAGAGTTCTAAAAATACGATATGTTAGTTCAAAATGACTGTAATTAGTTAATAGATTCATTGACCTTCTAATAATAGAGTATTTTTTCTTGGATAATAGAATCCATTGTCTGTCTTGTAAATCTCACAGAACAACCCTTGGCCGTATTTTGAAAACTTATTTGTATATGAGTTTTAGTTGCATAAGAGAGAATGAAAATAAAAATAATATTTCCAAAGAAACGTCACTTTTCAAGGTGGTCCAGCGACCCTTTAAGAGTACATCTTAATTAAAACCTATTTGTCAGTCTTGTATTTGTTACTTCAATTAATGATAAACATTTCTATATGTATATATAACCTGACACACCCATCTCTATAAATTTTGTGTCAACCTCTTCGAGCCAAGAGATATCAGATATCGTATCTACAATAATAATAACAACAACAATTAAAATCAATACAAAAACAATAAATTATTTGTTGTTATTATTTTTATAGCAATCGACAAGCCCTCTGTTTTTATTTCTTTACGATCTGATGGGGATATCAAATTCTTTGTTGTCGTCGGAACCTATTGCATTTTTTGTCAAAACTTCAGCAATTTTTTTTATTGTTTATTTATAAATTAATTTTTATAATAATTGTTGTTGTTTTCCCTTTAACTACACAAAAAATGCATTGTTGTTTGTATTGGAATTTTGAACAAAAGTAATAAACTAAAGAAGATTATTTATTATTATTATATTTTTTTGTTTTGTTCAAATTCCGCTCAATTAACAAAAAAATATTATTTTGCCTTCTTCAATTTCATTGTGTTTTTTGAATTCCTTCGGTTTATTATTTTTTCTTGTATTTTTACATAAACAAATTATAACGAGTAGAATTCAAAAGGAAGTGGACGATGGGAGAGGGGGGAGGAGTACAAATATATTTCTTGGCAGTCATTCAAAATAAGTGGTTGCAATTTTCTGTTGTTTTTTGATTTTTTGCATAATTTGCAAATGCAGGAACAATTTTAAAAAATTCCATAATTCTGATGTAATATTAAGAATATTTGCAATATAGATTATAAAGGAGATCGAAAATTAAATAAATAAAAAATATATAACACGGTAGGATTTTTATATCCTCTCTGGTGACGAATATATTTTTGTAGTCATAGGGTGGATTTTTTGAAGAATATTTTTCAAGGCCTGTCATAGGCGTGGATTTTTTAAAATCTGATGTAATATTCCGAATATTTGCAATATAGATTATAAAGGAGAATATTAAATTTAATTTAAAATATAGAAAGGATTTAAAGTTCCTTAGCCCAGTAGCATTTTAAGAACCCCCTGGTGTCTGTAGTTCTCAACGATTTTTTTTTAAATTTTTCTTATAAAAAAGTTTTATCTTTTTTAAAAGATCTATCATTGCCTCACAACATCATTGCTCGAAAAAAACAAATGTTTTCATCTATCCTTTTCCCAACATTTATCTTTTTCCAGGACTAAATTAATGACACGACATGAAGGAAAATGGTAATCGAAATCCATTTCTCTCTATCATTTTTCATTGTTATTGTTTTTATTATTATTGCGTTTATTTATATATTAAAAAATCTATATTGTCAATGTGTCTGTGCGTTGTTAATACGTGTGTGTAGTAATTTGATTCGTTGAGAAAAAATAAATATTGGAAAAAGCTTTGAAAAAAATATTTAAAGTCAAAGTTTACACTGTCGAACCCTTCCGTACGACAATGTGGACAAGAACTTTTTGCCATTTTGAAACAAATTGTGTGCGTTTGTTTTGTGTGTGTGTATTCCGTAGTTAGTATATAGTTCCCAAATATACCCCTTAACACTTCATTTAATACCACAACAACAACAACAAAACCAAAAAGAACAAAATTTGGCGTAGTTATTATGTTCTGTTTACTTTAGAGCAGCTTCTTTAACCTGATATTAAATTTTATTAGTATCCCGATTTAATTCAATGTTTCTTGCTCTTCTTCTAGGTGTTTCACATATGACAACAATAATCGCAATAATACCGCCAGCCCATCGCCAGATGTAAAAATCGATTTTGATGAATCATTGGATGGTAGCCGTTGTTCACAAGTAAGTAAAATGATTTTTTTCACGGTCTATCAGAAGCGTGGATTTTAAAAGAATATTTTTTCAAGGTCTATCCTAGTCGTGGATTTGTTAAAGTATATTTTTTTCAAGGCCTATCATAGAAGGCCAGAAGGTCTGCTACATAGAAGACCAAAAGGTCTTCTTCATAGAAACCCAGAAGGTTTTCTTCTTAGAAAATATAGTTTTTTCTTCATATGGTATCCCTTATAGAAGGCCAGAAAACCTTCTTCATAGACGGGCAGATTACCTTATCCACAGAAGACCAAATGATTATCTCCATGACTATATAAATCTTCCCCATAGAAGGCCAGAAGGTCTTCTTCATAGAACTGAAGGTCTTCTTCATAGAAGAACTGAAGGTCTTCTTCATCGAAGAGCTGAAGGTATTCCTCATCAAAGAGCTGAAGGTCTTCTTCATCAAAGAGCTGAAGATCTTCTTCATCAAAGAGCTGAAGGTATTCCTCATCAAAGAGCTGAAGGTCTTCTTCGTCTGAGAGCGGAAGGTCTTCTTCATCAAAGAGCTGAAGGTCTTCTTCATCAAAGAGCTGAAGATCTTCTTCATCAAAGAGCTGATGGTCTTCTTCATCTAAGAGCGGAAGGTCTTCTTCATAGAAGACAAGAAGGTTTTGTCATAGAACACCAGATATTCTTCTCGGATGAGACCTAAGATCTTCTTCATCAAAGAGTTGAAGGTATTCCTCATCAAAGAGCTGAAGGTCTTCTTCATCTGAGAGCTGAAGGTCTTCTTCATCAAAGAGCTGAAGGTCTTTTTCATCAAAGAGCTGAAGATCTTCTTCATCAAAGAGCTGATGGTCTTCTTCATCTGAGAGCGGAAGGTCTTCTTCATAGAAGACAAGAAGGTTTTGTCATAGAACACCAGATATTCTTCTCAGATGAGGCCTAAGTGTCTTCTATAAAACATCAGAAAACCTTCTTCTAGGAAATGAGGTCTTTTCTTATCAGAAGTCATTCTGAGACCAGAAGTTCTCCTCATATAGGATCTAAATGTATTCTTATAGAAGACTTTCAATTCAGCCCTTCTTTTAGAATACACGGAGGCGTACAGGGAGAAAAACTGGTTCGAAAAGGTCTTCTAAAGCCCTTCTTAAAGAAAATGAAAAATTTTCCCCCTAGAAGACTAGTTGTTCCCAAAGAAGTTCTGTCAGTGGAACCAGATCGACTTCTATAAAGTCAGATTAAATGGTGTTCTTATAGAATACCCTCAATATTTCCAATTTTAAGACAAATTTTTCTAGGCAAATTGACGATCTACAAAAAGTCTCCTAACTCCATCAGAAGATCTCCGAAAGTCCTTTTATTCCTGTGATACTCTTTTTACCACTTCAATTACAATTTCTGAACATTTCTAATGTTTCTTCTTCTCTTTCCAGCTCCAACAATATTCGGCAAATATTTTAGATGATCCCGAATTAATTGCCGGCAAGCATCGTACCCTATTAACCTTTACATCGTACATGACATCCGTTATTGATTATGTACGACCATCGGATTTGAAAAAGGAGCTCAACGATAAATTCCGTGAGAAATTTCCGCATATACAACTGACCCTAAGCAAATTGAGGAGGTAAGGTCCATCACAACATACCCTATTTTTTATGACCAATAAAATAATTTCTTTGTTTTTCTCTTTGCAGCATTAAACGTGAAATGCGTCGCATCAATAAATTGGATAGTCGCATTGACCTGGTAACCATATCGCAGGCCTATGTATATTTTGAAAAATTGATTTTGGCTAATTTGATTAATAAATCCAATCGTAAGCTATGTGCTGGCGCTTGCCTTTTGCTGAGTGCCAAAATGAATGATGTCAAGGGGGATTTATTGAAAAGTTTGATTGAGGTAAGTACTCACCTTTTTAAATTAATGTATTTTTATATTAATTTGTATTTTCATATTGTTTACAGAAAACCGAAAACGTTTTCCGTTTAAATCGCAAAGAATTAATTTCTTCCGAATTTGCCGTCCTAGTTGCATTGGAATTTAGCCTCCATGTACCCATGCATGAGATCTTACCTCATTATCAGCGTTTACTCTACGAATCCTAGAATTGGCCAAAACGCTTTGCCGATAAGCGTTTTCTAACGGCCGCCGCAAATACATCGCGTCATTATTTTCGTCGTTGTGCCAGTAGCAAGAAATAAGTAAAGGAATGAAGGATGTAAGGTAATTTGTAGTGTTGTGTATTATTTGTTTTTTTGTACGAGTCAACAATTTTGTTTTTATTTTCTAAGACCATCGAGATTTTTATAAATATTTATATAACCTACGATTCTTAAGCGATGCGATGTGTTATTTATTTTTTATAAGAAGAACAACCATTAAATTTATACACACAAAATGGAAAAATTCTGAACAAGAAGTTAACGCTTTCGTATGGGTATTTTTTTGATATAACAAACAAGAAATAATATGAAATGAAAATAAATTTTCTAACGATTTTTTATAAATACATATATGATGAAAGACAAACCAATTTAGATAATGAGGTATAACGGGTTATTGAAAAAAAAAAACAAATATAAAAAAAGAAAATTACTCAAAAAAATAAAAACTATAAAAAACTTAGTATATAAAAAAGTTTAAAAGAAAATAATACTTATTTTATAAAAAGAGCAAACAAAATATTATCAATTTTTTATAGAAGAGCTGTTGTAGGTCTTCTTCATAGAAGAGCTGCTGTAGGTCTTCTTCATAGAAGAGCTGCTGTAGGTCTTCTTCATAGAAGAGCTGCTGTAGGTCTTCTTCATAGAAGAGCCGCTGTAGGTCTTCTTCATAGAAGAGCTGCTGTAGGTCTTCTTAATTTTTTTAATAACAAATTAATAATATTTTTTAATAATATAATAATAAAATATATGCAAATATTCATTCAAATTTCTTCGTAAAACGATTAAAAATATTCATAATATAAAATTTATATTTAAGCACGAAAACTATTCAGATAAGCAAAACCTAATTTGATATAAAGAACTAAAGCACAAAAATTAAATTAAAAAAAATATAAAATATAAATGAAAAAAAATTGATAAAATAAATAAAATACATTTTCGACGAATAACAAAAATAAATAAATAAACTGGAAATAAAAATATATAAAAAACTAAAAAAAAAACAAATTCAAAAATATGTCACACATAAAAAATATTAACTCATATATAAAAAACTAAAAAAAATATTAAATATTTTCTACTATAAGGCACTGTACTGTAGATCGGAAGTGTACATTATTGGCTTATAGAAAAGCTATAAATAATAACTATTCATTACTACGAGTTTAGGATAAACCACTTCTATGGACATTAAATAAAATCCCAAAAACGCGATTTGGCTCCATTTTAATAGTTCACATCAAAAAGACCCAGCCTTTTTTATTATAACAACAATTAGTAATGTAATTTTATGTATATAGCTATGTTTAAATACCAAGCATTGCATTCAAACTATCAAATATTTAATTTTAATAAGAGCCAGGCAATTTTGAGCGAAACTACTTTGAAAGCAAAAAAATAATTTTTTTAAGGATTTTTAAGGAAGGAAAAGTTTGGAAAGGACAAAGGAATTAGATGAAGTCATATGTATGGCACAGAAAATACTCCTAATGAAAAATCTCCTCTTCAAGAGCCATTATTTTAATTTTATTTTTTTAAATAGCACAAAAAGTGAATAGAAGATTTTTATTTTGTATGTGTTAAAACGGCTTGTTTTTTTTAATTGGAAAGAAAGGAATTACATGGAGATTCAATAACAATCCTGTGGTGGAGGATATAATATCACTGTTAATATTATTTAAATAATTTCAGGTCAATTTGCTTAAGTTAATAAAGGCTTAAACATTGTCCTTTCAGCTTATTAAAGCTTTGTCAACTTTTATTAAGATCTGAGAGGTTGTGAATCTATTTTATTTATTTTTTTGAAATTTCACAACCACCTCCCCCCACTTTAGTCTACTTTGAATTTCTATTGACCTCCAAGTGGTAATAACATTTCAACTTATCAACATGATGGAAAAAATATATTTCAGGCCGAATGAAAAAGAAAAAAAAAATAAATTTTGTTTATTTAATAGAACATTAGAAAATTTTTGTAATTAAATCAAATTCCTTTGTTTCAAATTAAAAAAAACCGTTAGTGTTCTATCAAAACCCTATACAGTATTAAATAAAGTATTCTATTCTAGTTGTATAGCTATTTTTTATTATTCTATACACTTTTTATATATCACTCATTGTATGCTATAATATTTTTGGCATTAATGACAATAAATAAATGGCGTATACAATTTTTATAATAATGGTTCCTTGTTCTTTTTTTTCTATAAAAAACTAACATTCAAGTTTTTGCCTGTTTTTGACTTTTGGAGTTGAATCCTAAATTGAATGTGTTTCAATGTGTCTGTACTGTTGGCTAAAAGGGCATTTGATATTAAAAATAATATATTAATATATTTTAATAAAAACAATAATAAAAAAAATTAAATTAATAAAAATTATAAAAAAAATATTATTGGAAACAAATTAAAAAAATATGTTCTTGAAAATAAAATAAAAAGAAACAAAATTATGATAATTAAAAAAAAAAGATTAAAAAATATATTTTCAAAAATAAAAAATTGATTTAAAAAATTAAAAAATAAATAAATGAAATATAAATTACCATCGGAAATTTTTTGAATAAAAGTATATCTTAAAAAATAAAAATACGGATAAAATTAAAAATAATAAAAAACAAATAAAAGTTAAAAAAATAACAATTAAAAAAATTAATAAAAAATTGAAAATTAATAAAAAATGAAATTAAAATTAAAATAAATTAATTACTATTGGTAACGATTCAAAGCACATATTATCTTTAAAAATAAAATTAAATAATAATTAAAAAGTAAATATAAAAATATGATTTTTAATTATAAATAATATATATTTTTAAGATTATAGATTCTTAATAAAAACTCCACTAATACAACTATATATTTTTTTTTTAATTAAGTTACCGATAACACACAATAAATATATAAAAATTTAAAAAATATTTTAAAATAAAAACTCTACTAATAAAAAAAATATTTTTATAAATATTAGGCCACCCACATTTTTTCAAAATGTGTTTTTTTTATAAAATATAATAATAATATAAAATAAAAAAAATATATATTTTTACGACATTTGTGTTTATAAAATTAAGCTACCCACAATAAAAAACAAAAAAAGTATAAAACAACTATTTTTCTTTAACTTTTATTAAATAAAATAATTAAATCTAAACATTTATAGCAATAAATATTGAATATAATTAATTTTAAAACACTATTTTCATAAATTTAATAATTCTTACAATTAATATTTGTTTTTTAATAATAAGTAATTATTCACAACTATCTTTAATAGATATAAGCAATTAATTTTAAATTTTGGTCACACATTTTCTCTCCTGGCTTGAGAATCTTGTGACCACCCCAAAAAAACTACACACAGAATGGAAAATTTGTTTAGATTTCTAAGCATAAATTTAATCAACCTATTTCTAATTCCACAAAAAATAAAATAAATATGTTAATAAAAATAAATATTACAATTAAATACTAAGTATAACTAATAATGCAATATATATTAATAATTATAAACAGCATATTAAGACATATAAATAAATATTATATTAAAAAAGAAAATCGAATTCGAATTTTATTTTTCATCGTTAAACCCGAAATTGTTAATATTTGATTTTGAATATTATGCAAAGATTTTATATTCATAGAAAACAGTTTGGCTCTACTTGACCTTTCAGGGAAGGAATTCAGTGTGTCTAGTATTTAAAATTCTTTCCCCTTATCTATAAAAATCGCCATACTACTATAGACCACCTTTTAACGGATAAAACGTGTTTTGATAAAAAAAAATATCTCTCCCTAAAATTTTTTCATGTTTTGCTATATCCTTCCTGCTATAGCCTTCTTATATCCTGAATATTTTGTAATGCGATAATTCACACTCCGTGAAGTATCTCACTACAATCAATCCATTCTCTTAACGAAAACGCGAAAATGTTAATATTTTTTCTCCAAAATGTGTTAAATATATCTGGTATCCAATTTGTTCCAACCGCTATTCATAGAACTGTGCCGCCATATTTTGGAGTGTGGAAAATTCCTTGTGAGACCTTGGCGATTATATTTAGAACCCATAAGCACAAATTCGCCATTGGTAAAATTTTTAACTTATGTCGTGATGATTTCCCTTCTATTTTGAGTCCTTTTCCGTCTTTTTATCTTATTTTCTTGAACTGTAAGGACCCATAAGGATTTTTCCACCCCCAAAGCCATGAGCCCCATATCAGCAAATTTTGCTTGGGATTTAATTTCGCAGAAAGTTCATTGGAAGTTGTGCAGGGTATCATATTGTTCGACTATGTTGCTCCTCTTATTGGTTTATCAAATAAGACATATGTCCACCTTTTGGCCGTTGGTGTACGGTTTATGGTTCTGCCAGTGAATACCCCTAATAAACTTTGTGTTATAAGTAGTATAACAATTATCATATGGTTTGAGTCTTTACTAGAACTTTATTGAAGATATGACTCACCCATGTTACATACTTTTGTATTCAATTCATAGATGGCGTTAAGAGAAATGAATTGTAAACAGGTAATCGATATACCAGACGAAATCGCGTATAACACCATAAGATAAGCGTTCGGTGGATGTCACTACAGTCTATCTGCATTCTAACTTCTTTAACATCTAATTTCCGAAAAATAGCCTCCTTACTACTACTGTCGCTTCTTATAAGATGCCGACATATCAGTTATTGGTCTAATTTTTAAGATGGCCCCCATATAACGATACCTTCTAATTTTTGGTATTTTGGGGAGCTTCGAAACGTTTTTCAACGGATTAGGCAGTAATTTCGTATTTTGGGCTTTCATTGGGTAGAGTAGAAAAATGTTCTACCAAAACTATTTTACCCCATGTTTCGGGGTAACCCTCATATCATTGTACTTTCCACTTCTCAGTATTTTGGGGAGCATCATTTTCCATCAATTAGTATGTAATTTGTTATTTTGAGTTCTCATAGAGTCGAAAATCTTCCGGTCAAAAATTATTAA